CTAGGCAATTTAAGATCTATATTTTCTTTACTAAGACTATATCATATCTTTAATTTTACTATTGTCTCGATTTAGCAAGATGATAAGCCATCACCATCCCCAACATTATTAGTAGTTAACTAACTTGTGTGTGTTGTAAGTTTTTTTACACATAAATTAAATTAGATTAAATATATAGTACTTGATTCCAATTCCAAGATAGGCTGATAAGGTTCATGCATGTGTGCGCTTTGACAACTCCAACCCTCCATTTCTATATTACCGTCTAATACTAGTATGCATGGGATCAAGATCTCGCAAATCTTTTGCATCTTTGGCTTCCAACAACAAATGTTTTACTAATTAATTAATATCACTATAATAATAATAATAATGTATAATTACTTTAAGCAAAAAATTGATGGGAACCCAAATTAAAAGGTTGACTTGGCAATATATTACTATTATCATTCTTGTCCTTTGTGAAGATTTCATGAGATTTTATTCTCATTTGGGCCCGCAAATGGAATAATTTATAATTATCATTATCATGAATTGATCCACAAGCCCAATGAAGAACAGATCAAAGGACGCCATCGAAGAAGAAACGTAGCGCTAGAGTATATATGGTGCAGTTGGAGATTAAGAGCTCATGAATCATGTTTGACCACGGAAAAGCCCTATTGAATCAAAGGAGACATTTATTAAGGATCACACACACTTGTGATTAAATTAATTATATCAACTGTGAAATGATACGTGTGGACAGTGGACCTTTAATCTTATATATATATTCAATACATGTAATGATTATCATTCACTAAGTTGCAGTGAAATTATTCAGTGGATATCATTATGGATTATTGCTTGAACAAATGGTGGGTGGAAAACGTTTGGTTCGTTGGTGGTATTTTAGGCAACAACATAATTTTTATGCGGTGGATTTGACATGGGATGGGAGGTATAGTGGATGATTGAACTCATCAAACTGGTCCTAATTCATCTCTAGTAAGTTTTTACGAGTAGGTGATTCTTAAACGATTCATTTAGTATGACGTTATTAGTTGTAAGTTGTTAGTTAACATTATGAATCCACTCCGTTTATTAAACCTACCTTCTACTATGACCTATATAAGCTTCTACCGATCGTAATTAATCAACAAAATCAATTATTCAATCACTACTCACGGAACTAGGAATGGCAATGGGGCAGGTCCAGGGCGGGTTTCTTGGTACCCAGACCCGCCCCGTGGCAGGGCGGGTCCAGGGCAGGTAATTGATCACGGGTCGCGGGTCGGGGCAGGTCGACCCAATGGGTATGCAATTTATATGAAAAACATTAGAAATATTCGTTATTTTTATTATAAGACTAAGAAAACAAACAATATTATGACAATTGTTGTTAAATTATTGGAGAAATTGAGGTTTTCACTAATTTACAACTTTATTATAGCTAAAATATGATGCAATAAAAGGAAAATTCAAAGTAATTTGACTAAGATTACATGTAATTTAGACAAGAACGGGTCGAGAATGGGGCGGGTCAGGGCAGGTCGGGTCGATGAGACTACCCATGCCCGCCCCGCCCCGCCTACGGGGCGGGTCCGACCCGCCCCAGAACAGGTCAAACAGGTCGGGTAAAACGGGTCAGGTCGAAATTGCCATCCCTACACGGAACCCTACTCACCTAGAGTTATATACAATATATGAGTCATTTATTCCATCCACATCAAATTCTGAAGTGAGCCCCACCCTCACCCCAACTCGTCGCTCAATTGCACCTCAGCCTTAATTCAAAAACTTGTAACCCCAATGTTGTCATACAAGTAAGATATATAAAGTGTAGTATTTGACGCGTGAATCACGTGTAAACCTATAGATAACGAATGGCCCACCGATGATAACATTAGATTCTATGAAGATCGAGATACTCTATAATCCAACGCTAACGATCTCAACTATGATGTTGTAGTGTGGGCAACTTTGCACGGAACTGGATATCATAAAAAAGAGTTTTCAGCCCCTCTCTTTTAGTGTTAGTCTGTCATTAGAAATTTAGGATTTAGGAGTTGTTACACAAACACATTCAATACAGAGGGCCTGCACTATTTCGGCAGTTCATGGCACAGGTTGAGGTTGAGGAGTGGGAGCAGCATATATGCTTCGACTCCCCTGACTCTTCATAGAGGTGGTAATGAGGCTTCTAGTTCCCCTGCAGATCAACGACACATGCATGCCAGCCAAGGATTCGACCGCAGGATATATAGGTGGCATTGGCTTTGCTGGTTTCTTTTAATTAACACAGTGAGCTCCTCTTTGCTTTCAGCAAGCATTGCCCAGTTACGTACGTATTACTGATCTATTTATCATGGAGTCATTATCCATGAGCGAGTTGTTGCTCATGGAGGAGATATGCTTGGATGCGACGTCTTTTGTTTCTTTTGCTTGCAGTTTTAATTACTTATAAATTGTACAACAGGCTTGTCCTTTTTTTAGTTCCTACTAATGCACTTTCATTGAAAATTCGACTAGTTAACGACTGTCGCGTCTGATCATTAAGTGTCTTGTAGTATCTATGTTTTAGCCCATCTATGAAAATAAAACTTGTTGGAAAAATAAATTAGAGAGCAAAAATGGATCAATTGGGCCGTGAATATTGGGAATGGAGCAACGGACCCGTAATGTGAGGTCTGTTTTTGGGGAATAAAGAAGCCGTCAACCGTTTATGTGGGCTCAACCTTTTGGGCCCACGACGTCCAGTGTAGTTAAAACTGAATATCAATTTGGGTTGGGCTTTCCAGACAGGCTAGTAATAAATTAAGTCCAGTACGTTTATGTGGACACTTACTCTTCTCAATTGAATCAAAACTTTCATGATCAAATATTTGGTTAGGTAGATGAAGATTCTTTTAAGTAAATAATACCCCTCCATTTCGATCCATATAATATTATATTTTCAAAATTTTCATATTGTATGTTTTCTTACCTACTCTACTCGTATCGTATCGTATCGTATAAAAATAAAATGAGCAAATCAATAAAATACTACTTCAACCTAAACCCAACAAAAGATTACTGTAACAAGTTTTTTCAATGGTCGTCCTGCATTGCAGCTAGCTAGCTGTAGCTGGTGCCCACAAGTGTCTACCTTACCTTATATACAACTCATCATCATCATCACTAACCCTAAATTATGCTATTGTCGCAATTAGACAAAACCAATTTTGCTTTCATTTGGACTATATATTTTTGTAGTATAAACAAATTACACACATGCATGTATAGGGGATACAATATTATTTGACTTAATTTCTTCGATGGAACTAATGCATCTAATTAATTAACTATCAAAACAATAGCAGAAGAATAGGAACAAGAAACGAGAATAATAATTTGGCAAGTCAAACGAGTTCCTCGCTATATGGCTGATATCCTAAATCATCACGTCCATCAATATATAATATAATATAATATAATATAGTAGCTAGCTTAGCTATCTATCTCCAGTTGACCTTTTCCATTAATGTCAATGCTAAATATACAAAAGAAGGGTTAAATACGTTGTGCCAATTGTCAAACATATACATTTTCTTTTGCCGGTGTGTGGTTTTGTTTGTTACTTTTACATATGATCGCTTTGGATCTAGCAACTCTGTTGATTGAAAGGAGACAATTCATGTCTCCTCTACAAAGGGCTATTCTTGTTCACCTGCTGGGAGTTTTAGATCTAATCAATTATGTGATCGACAAGCTCATCGAAGTCAACCATATAACAATGAGCTTTTATTCATCAAAATTACAACAAGTTATGGAGATATTCAAAATATGAACCATTTATTGGTAGATTCATTGATGTATAAAAGATTTAGTAATTAATCGTGCCCCCTATGCTCGGATGGGTTACGACCAACACTGATGGCTCTGTTTTACAACACAGTTCAAAGTCCACATGTGGTCTCTAATTAGTCCAACTAATGTACAATTACTAAATCTTTTACTAATTAGAGACCATTTGGGTCGATGCTTGTGACCCTTCATGACGAATCTTGGAACATGTACTATTACAAGGACAAAGTCAAAAAAGAGTACTCTACGAATTGCAGCTAGCATGGAGTTAAGGCCACAGGAAAATCCAACTCCGGATTGACTCCTTAAACCCGCTCACTCTTAATGACAAAGCAAACAGAAAGTAATAGCAGATACCACAATTTGATACAAGAGTTTCACAAGCTCATGCAACAACAATGGGAGGTTGATATCTCTCATGTCTATTGGGAATGCAATAAGCTTTAGGTCTCCATGAGATTAAGATGCATTATTGGTTATTGTATGATACTATAGTCATTGGCCTTATAGTATTCCATATATACCAGCTCGAGATGTCCTTTAGACATCTCATATTCTAAAATAAAAGATTTAACAATCTAATAATCAGCTTAAAAATTGAGGTAATCGGGGGAGGGGATGAAGGAGACATATATTTCAATATTAGAATTGAAGATTTCTTTCATTTACAATATCCATATGTACCATTATCAAGGCGCGCGGGCATGTGATTTGGAGAGTGGTTTGATAAGGTTTAATTTTTTATACATGTGTATTCGTTTGTGGATTTTTCTTAAATTTGAGGAGCTTTTTTTTCAAAATGAAAAAGGCAATATAGAATTTATCCATCAAACTCGTGATTAATAAAATCAACATTCATCATCCATATGGCTTAATTACCAACATCAACTGGTTCACTACGTTGTCTCCCTTTGCCAGTATTGCACAAATCATAAACCCTTGCTTCTTCTTCATCTTCAGAAAAACTCCACTCAGTATGTAAATTCATACGTTACGTATAGATATATTACCTATATAACATAAACCTAGCTAGCTACATTTTATTCATCTTCTCCGCTAGCTTAATTAACTCGACATATATGCATGAATGCATATGATGTTGATCTCTAGCTAATTACCAAATTTAAAACACGTACATGCATGACTAATTAATCCTCCCTCCGTACGTGTTGGATCTATGTGGTGAACTTCCAAGCAGAAACCGAATGCAGGCGAGTGCCTTTCCATCCAAGAACCAAGCTCTTGTCACCATCCCTCTCCACCGTACACAAATCCCGGCACCCAGCATTAATAATATTGTGATTGTGAATGACAAGCCTGGCCTGGTGGAAGCAAGACGAGCTCATCTCAACTTCCACCATTCCAAACCTCTTGAAGAAGAGCCTCCAGGCTCGAAGTGGCACGTTCCTCACGACCCTCTCTTCCCCCTCGCAGGCCACAATGTTCCTTATGCTCTCCCCACAGTACACCGACTCCACAGCCATCCTGCAGTTGCAGTCATGATCGAAGTAGGCCTGGGTCGCGTCCAAGTAGGCGTTGAAGAAGTAGAGCGCCTCCATGAAGCGGGACCCAAACGCCGGGGAGTTGTGGTTGGCCTCCACCTCGGTCACCACCACCACATCAGGATCTATGCTCTTGATCGTTCCCATGAGTTTGTCGAATTCGGTTGGTGACCTAATCAGCTTCCTCGGCACGTAATCCAAGTACACCGCCACGGCTTCCTCCTCTTCTTCATCGTCGTAGTCAGCATGCAGGCCTAACATGTGGACCTTGAGATCGGAGAGCTCTGATACCATGACTATGTGAAAGGAGAAGGGCATGTTCAAGGTCGCGGCGAAACTGGCTAGCCTGTTGCCCGTTTCCTCCATCATCTGCTTCTGCCTAGAACTAGAACTAGAACTAGAATCATCCAGCTGAGACCCGACGGCAGTAATCTTGAGACGTTGAGGTGGAGAGGAAGAAGCAGCTAGGGCCGACATGAGGATGGTCCATTGAGCACCGTTTCTGAGGGAGAGGTCGATGATGTGAACCCTTTTCCTTTTGGGCCCCCCGGTGGTGACCTCGTCCACGATGGATTGTACCCCGGCGAATTGTGATGCTACGCCCATCGGAAGGCAACTCGCTAGCTGATGGATGTGCCTATCTACACTAGATGAAGATGAAGACCAACCTCCAGCTGGTGGGCGTGGGGTTTGCGAATTGATCATCCTTTCTTGCAGGGCTTCCGAGAAATAGAAAACCAACCTCTGGATGGCGTTTCCTGCTGCGGAACAGGACCTCTTGCACTCCTTGAGAAGCGCGGCGGCTTGGTCGTAGTCGTTGCGGGCTACTCTATCGGAGGCGGCTACAAGGTTCTCCACCAGATCCACCATTTTCATGGCTTCTTGGGAAACCTCGTCGTCAGAATTACAAGTCAACATGTTGGACAAGTCATCATGAGAAGATGATGATGAAGTAGATCTGCTGAGGTACCTTGCTCCGGCGATTCGGATCACTTCCTCCGAAGACAAGTACTGATGATCATGATGAAGATCGTGGCAGTCCATCCGGTGGAGCTTGGCAGTAGTAGTGATGACAAGGGAAGATGATGAATTAGGTGGATGCTTCTCAGGCAGCAATAAGTAGTTTGAGTAACTTGTGAAAGGATCAACCACAATTTGTTCTTGCTGCTGGTGCTGGTGATGACGATGGCCTGCTGCAGCCTGGTTTGACACTGCTTGGGTACCCATAGGTGTCTCAGATTGCTTAGATTATATAACAAATTAAGGAGCTAGCTAGCTAGCTAGCTAGTACTGTATTGCAATAATACACAATTATATAATTATGCGGCCGGGGATGGATTTTGGCAACTGCGCAGAAAATTAATTAGTATGGATGAAAACAACATCCCCTCCCCAACAAAATAATAAACCACACCCTCTCTCTCCCTTTTATATATTGATTAAGACAATATGTCGACGGAGGAAAGAAAGAATGAATGAATGAATGATTAACAAGCTATATATAAGCACTAGTCTTGCAAGGGGTTAAAGGATTTTGACAAAAATAACCCGACAAATATATGCATCAGCAGATCGAAAGCCTCCTAACTTCTAATTGCAATTGATTTTAATTAAAGTAAATTAAGATGATCCCGGCCGCTTTGTAAATATCAACAACCAATTGATGAGGTAATTACATTACAGCGCCAAGAAACTAGAAAATTGGTTCGGTTGCCATACTTAATTAAATAGCCAACCTCCTAACGAGATCGGTTTGGTTCAGGTTAGCTTAGTTTAATGGGTAGAAGACCGGCCGGCCTCATTCTCTTATGAAACGGAACAAGCCAACTTTAGGTCAAACTCGCGTTTTACATTTTAAAAGATTACACTTAAACTTTTTTAAATCACCAAAACACTTCTACGTAGAATCGCGCTTTACACATACAATTGCAGTCAAATTCCACGCTTTAAAGATTAATAGCTTTTGTTTTACGTACGCTTCTAGTCACCAAAATGCTCATATATAAAATTACGATTTTGGCTGCATTGAATAGGTTAACATAGCATAATGATCAGTGGTGGAGCTAGTGTGTACACTAGGGTGAGTTATATATATCCTCCTAAATGGGTTAATTGCATGGTTGGTCACTGAGATTACCAAAAACGTTCATGTTTGGTCACTAGAAATATTTAAATCCACTTTTGGTCACTAACTTTACAAAACCCGTTCACTTATGGTCACTCTCCGTTAGCTGCCGTCCAACGCCGTTAATGGCGTCCGTTAAGTGATGACGTGGCTGACGGATTCGCCTAATCAGCACCTTTTGACCCTAAAATTAACTGACCCGACCCGCCACGTCATTTAAACCCTCCATGTCAGCTAAACCTAACCAAACCTCTAACCAAACCAGACCCGACCCAACCCACCAACAGAAACGACCCACCCGCCACTAAAAAAACCTAATTTCTAAAACTCTTCAGGCTGCTTCTCCATCCCGCGCCGCCTTCATCTTTCCCATTTTTCTTCCTTTCCACTCGTTTCATCGGCGACGAAGGAGGAATGGAGCCCGCCACACAGTGTGGTTGACTACAATGACTGAATGGAACGAGTGGAGAATCCACGACTGAATGGAACTGAATCATTCGGTGATGAATTGGACCAATGACTTTCTGATGCTGGATTCTCTATCCAATTTGGCATGTAAGGGTTTTGCGAACTCAGAAAGGTCCGACTTGTAAAATGAAACTTTGTCTTTCCAAAAAGCATAAAAAGGTAGCGCCTTTTGTGTGTTTTGGCCTTTGGGTGATTGGTTTCAGGAAACTCAATTGTTCATTAGCAAAAAAGGAGCTGCTTGCTTCCTTCAATGGGGTACGGTGAAAAACAGGGGAGAGAAAAAAGTTGGACACTTTTGAACATTGATCTTCCATGGTTCTTAACTATTAAGTCCCAAGAAAAATGAAAACCCAGAAGGTGAAATCCTTCATACTTTGATGGGTTGGAATCGAAAATGGGAAACTCGAACCAGAGACAAGTGTGGAAGAGGGGAAATTCATTCCAATCTACTTGGGTGTTGGAGCTTTTTTTTTCTTCTTTCACTCTGTTTTGTCCAAGGACAGAACAGGGGGAAGAGAAAACAGAGGCGATCGAGAGAGAAATGGAACAGTGATGGTGTGAAGAGGTTTCATCGGCGGGCTCCATTCCTCCTTCGTCGCCGATGAAACGAGTGGAGAGGAAGAAAAATGGGAAAGATGAAGGCGGCGCGGGATGGAGAAGCGGCCTGAAGAGTTTTAGAAATTAGGTTTTGTTTAGTGGCGGGTGGGTCATTTCTGTTGGTGGGTTGGGTCGGGTCTGGTTTGGTTAGGTTTATCTGACATGGAGGGTTTAAATGACGTGACGGGTCAGGTAAGTCAATTTTAGGGTCAAAAGGTGCTTATTAGGCGAATCCGTCAGCCACGTCATCACTTAACGGACGCCGTTAACGGCGTTGGACGGCAGCTAACGGAGAGTGACCATAAGTGAACGGGTTTTGTAAAGTTAGTGACCAAAAGTGGATTTAAATATTTCTAGTGACCAAACATGAACGTTTTTGGTAATCTCAGTGACCAACCATGCAATTAACCCCCTCCTAAATATTTGGTTTTAGCTTATAAAGTGTGGATCATATATGGTAATTAGGTAGTGAATGATAAGATGGTAGGCTATTAATCCCCTCATCCAAAATCCGAGTTCAATCCCAATAACAGGGTGCATTAGCTTGCTAACCTCATAAGCGTTGGAAAAAATGAAACCTCTGGTATTCAATGCAACCTGTAGAATTTAACACTCTTATTAAATATATTGAAGGGTGAAGGCACAGGGGAAAGGCGTGGAGGAAGATGACCCAAATCCCTCACCAAATCCATCATACAAACAAGCTAATGAAATGTATGTGGGAAAATACATATGGTTGACATTTTTTCCTGGGGTTTTGGTTGTAGCACTTAACCCCTTAGCTAAGTTACATATAGAAGAAGGTAGTTTTGGTCGATCCTATACAATTGCCCAATGAGTATCTGGTTGGATATGAATATGAACATTTTTATTTTCCCAGGCACATGTTTTGATAAATATCCATGGTGTATGATGAGACAGGACAAAGTTTCCTCGTAATTTCTTCCATCCACCCTAGGAAAACCAACCATGGAAAATCCCCTTTTTTTATATATATTATATATATATAGGACATGAGCTTCAAAGTCTACAGAGGCGACAACAGTGTGTAGACACCTAATCTAATATATATTATTAATCATCATTTGGGTGGATTATAGGAAAGGAAAGAGCCTGTGCCCATGCCCAAGGGCATTGCTTGTGTTTTTGCTGGCCGGATTATCATTCACGGAGAAGTCCCGGCTGCAGCCAGGTGTGAGTTCTGTTTGTGTATGCAACCGGCGAAGAGGGTATGGTTACCGACGTACGTATCTATTCATCTGGTTTTTGCCTGTCTTATACTACCAATCCATGTTGCCTTCCTTAGCTTGCTTCGATGGATACAACTCTCTCTTGCAATGAGCACAATAAAAAGGTGCTCAATTTGGTGGGCGATCTCTCTGTATATGCATCGTTCGACTCTCATCTCAGCTATTCTATTTCTGTGCCACCAGAAATATCACACTAATACCACGTGACTAATTACCTGGGCCGGCTGTTTTTAGTCCTGTTCCTCATCGTCATTGAGCATACGCTAGCTGCATATTCACATTCAAGCAGAGAACAATTAACAAACATAATGTAAAAGTCCATTAACTTTGTAACGTTCTTCAGATAACGTTTGTTTCACAAAAGAACAGCAGCATGAACCTCTACCCTACTGCTTCGAATTCATTCCTTTCCTCGTCTGCTACTTGATGCTGCCTTGTTTCTCCTTGGGCTGAGCGTCATTAAAATTTCTTGCTTCTGATCACACAGCTTTTTCATGTCCAAGAAAATGGCACTCGAGGGTTTAGATTTGGGGCATCCGCTTCCCTTCAAGTCCACACATACAAGAGGGTTGCCAACCAAATGTAGTGCGTCCGAAAAAGCTTCAACACCTCCATGGCTTGCTTCCTCGCGATTCCACAAGGAGCTCAAACGGTTGTAAAACTCTGAAGGTAACATTGAAGTAATACCTATTTTTCCCAAGATGCGGGGAACCAGATCGCAACTCTTGCCAGTGTTGATGCTAAGCATGCCGACTAGGACCACCAGCCTTAGCACCACTGCTGGATGGCATTCCAAGACTAGAACCTCATTGTTAAAGAGGTCTTTGACTATGCAGGATACCAGTCCTGTAGCTGCATCCACAGTAGGCTGGGTTTCTTCGGCAATAATGGATGTTGAGGAGGGATTCTTCCATCTGTTGTACATCAGCCATTCAACCACAGAAGATCTTGGAGCGTAGAAACAGCCGTTCCAAGCCAATGTCATCATTAGCAATCGGTCTAGCAGATACACTAGACAACTTGGAGACAGGGTCTCTTCTGCATTTTCAAACATGTTGTAGTACATGCGTAGAACTGTTTGCTGCAGTTTCCAAACCATACACTGCTCTGCTACGATTTCATCTACCTCGGGCATAATTCCAACTTCCAGAGGTCCCACAATTTGATCAACGTGCAATGAGCCAACTGCCTTTTCCTTCAAGTTAATGAGAAGCATCTCTAGATTCGGACGAGACAGCTTTGTCGAGAGGGCAATTGTTGTAACCTCTGCAATACGACATGTTGTGAGAGAATTTTCCAAGTAAAGATGCATGATTTCCTCCAATGGGACTCTGAATTCTTCTACCCCTCTTGTGTTGATCATATCATTCCTCCATGAATCATGCCACTCAAGAAAATGAATGTTCAGTACATTCTCTATATAATGCTCAGCAAACCTTCTTGCCATGTCTGTGAGTTTGGGTGGAAAGAGACTGGAAAGATCGAGCATATGTACTAGTAGCATGCTTCTGCAGTATATCGACAGACGATTCTGGACACAATATTCATATACAGTTTCAAGTCTTTGCAGCACCTCTGAACCAACCACACGAATTTCAGAAGACCAGTAGGCTTTAGCAGCTCTCCAGAATGTGCGACTGTCAATAATAACTCGTTTCTTTTGGTTCTGAAAGCTTCTGGAGATGACAGAACCACTCAACCATGGTGCATCAGGATAAAGAACATGGTATCGAGATAAGCTGCCACTCAGTAGCTCCCTAACACCTAGGTAATCCAGACAAAACTCATTATAAGAACTACCGTCTTTTTTACAGTGGGAAATAATTTGGCCCATGCTCCCCTTCCACGACTTCCAATAGAACACCAGATCCCGGAAAGAAAGCATTTGCCACGGGCGGCCATATCTGGTATAGTTCACTATGTCAGCAACCAAAACATCGTGGGATAACACATCAATAATCTTTCTAGCACAAAGAATTTCATTTCGTAAGCTGCCATGCCCCTGAAAAAATTCAAAACGATTTCTCAGCAGTGACAAGCTATTACTGTTTTCACAGGATAAAAAGGCCGCCTCTTCACGAACAAATCCCACGTAAGCTTCTGAAACATGCTCAGCACAGGTTTTAGCTTGGCCCAATAACTGCTTCTTGCCCTTGAAATCTTTGATCGGCCAACCGTTATTTCCATCTCCCCAAAGTGACTCACCAAGTACATGACGCAGAACAGCATGGCAAGCTTCTAGGTATTTTCCTAGACTCTTAAGATGATCCGCTGATACTGTGACAAGACCTAATTGCCCTGCAATATTCGCTGCTTCGGGATGGTTGCCCCATTCCTCCTCCAAATCGAGAAGACAATCAAGTTCATTTCTGACCACTAAAAATGTGCGCATTAGGTCATTGGAAGTGAAAGCTCCAACAAACATCATCATGGTTTCATAGTCTTCCACCCTACGAAAATGAACTGCACCTTTCTCTAAGAATCTCTCGAATTCCACACTATCGAAAGTTTTATCCTTCCTCCAGCGTTGAATGTAGTCATATCCAGTTTCAAATAATCTGCCGTCCAGGCATGCAGATAAGCACTTACCATATGAGTTGCACTTAGAATAGACTGCTGCAGCTTTTTCGTAAGACCTTGCAAGATGGAAGCATTCACCTGCTTCCTCTAGTTTTGAGGACGCCAAGAAAATTTCACCTGCAAATTATGGGTGTTATAGATGCAGTTTCAACTTGAAACTAGGGATAAAACAGGTGGAAATCATGGATTATGCACAGAGAGAGATTAAGAGAGGAGAAATTAGTCCTACCTGCTTTTTTGTATTCTTCCAACTCGAAGTAGCATTGGGCTGCAGATTCATCCTTTCCAATTGAGTCAAATAGTTCAGCAGCTTCAAACAGATGATGTTGGGAAATTTGAGGATTCAAAATCCTCAATCGATCAGCCTTGGCTCTCAACTCGGAAGCTTGACAATATGTTTCCCAGTATGGTTCAGCTGCATTCTTGAAGCAGATTCTTGCCATTTCATAGTTCTGTACATGAAGGAACTGGATAACAGCAAAAAACACCTTTTTAGAACTGAGTTGATGGAACAAAACAGAGGCATATCTTCTAAGCAGAGATCAATCGGACCTTCCTTCCGCGCTTCTTCCATGCCTCTGGAGTTGAAGGAACTCGCATCGATGCTAAAAATTCATTATCCAAGTGCTGAAGCTGGACGATCCCCTTACACTTCCACAATTCCAGCATTGGGCTCCAGCTTTCATCAAATATCCAGAACCTTTGCCTTGTGCGAGTTATAGCTACATATAGTAGCTTCAGCTCATGACACAATAACTTCAGCTTCTCATCACTGAAGTGCCGAAAATGACATTCATCATGAGGTGATGAAATGTTCAGTGTCCTCATGTATCCATGGAGTAACTCCCATTGATCTACGACGGGCGAGGAACCAAAAAAGTTGTAGAGCAGAACATCCTGTATAAAGATGTATGAATATTGGAGCACCTGTCAAATCTCATGGCACGTTCATATAATACTATGAAAAGAATCGATATGAAAACTGCAAAAGGGTAGTAATATATGCACGTAACAAGAGTGTGCTCTAACCTCAAACTCTAAGCCTTTGCACTCCAATATTGTCAAAACAAGTGCACAGCACCCCACTTGACCAAGAACATCATTCTTGACTTCTTCATTTCTAACAAGTACCACCTGTTCAGCCCCAAACTCAACACTTTTCTTCTGCCCAGCAAAAAGGACCTCAGACATCGACTTGAATACGCTCCTATTGTCCACAGACTTAAGCAGAACAGGTCTTACCCCATTCACATGACTGGTTTCAGGGTTCAATTCGTCAATGGAATTAGGGAAGAAATGGTATATCAGATCAATAACACTTTGAGCTAGCCTAAGAACCCCAGCATGTGTTCGAAAGTTCTGACTCAAATGTAAAACATCAGAGATTTCTCGCTTTGTATTGGTGCTGGTACTTCCAAAACGACCGGAATCCATTGCGAAGGTTTTATAGAACAGGGACCTTATATCCTTGAATCTGAACTCAACTCCTTTTGAAATCGCCTGAGCAGTATCTCCGGCGAAGAGAAAACCCTCCTCGTAGTTTCTGCAAACATGCTTGAAAACAGCAATTTGCTTCATTGTTAAATCTTGAATTTCATCAATGTATACAAAGTCCATTTCAGCAAAATTATACCCTTCCACTCTGAGCCGGACATGTATATCGCTGACAAAATCAGCCAAATCAAACTCACCATTTTTTACTTTACTCTTCTCATATTCAAGGTAAATATCATATATCCTGCATCTTTCCTGCTCAGTGAGATAAGATAACCTACGCTCAGAATGTGATAGATAATCCTCACGGCTCAAATGACCACCAGCCGCCTCTAAAGCTAGTAATCCACCCTTGATATGAGAAGTTATCTCAGTGAAACAAAGGAATGGCTCAACCCTCTTGGTTAGTTTCACGTTCATGTAGGGCCAATACGATGAACTAAATTTCTCATAATTGACCTCCCTTGTCCTGATAAAAGTTTGCAAAGTCAAGGACTTAGAGTTCTTCCTTTTCTCAGGTTGACATGCCCTGGCTTCAGGAAATCTATCAAAAAAGGAGACTCCCATCGTGCAGTCGAGCATTAGTAAGAATTTCTTAAAAGTTAAAACGAGGGGGAAGAAACTTGATGGAATATCAACAAAAGAATCTGGGAAGTCCGAAGAAAGGAATGTCTCATCAATTTCCTCCAGATCAAATTCACAGCTTTCAGCAGACAGGTTCCATCCGCAAGTGGACCTGTATGCACAAAAGCCAACAAGAAAGAAGAGGGTCAAGATCACAGAACACACATTTAAATCTGTACCCTGTGCAGTAACAATCATCTTTACCTTTTCAGGCGAGAAATATTCTGCTTGACGAAGTGGCACAACCTTGGATTTACTGTCACAAACAGTTGTTTCAGCACATTTTGTTCATCCGTTTCTACTGCATCACTTTGCTCATGATATCCTCGAAGTGCAATGTGATGAAGCTGTTCCCTTTGAAATAACTTCATAACCAACACTGTGGTTTTCCCGCTGCCTGACCTACCAAGTACGAAGGAGCTCTTACCAAATTGAACTATTTCCTTCTCTTGGTCTGAGAGCTCAAATGGGAAATCCACTTCCTGACCATCACATCCAGAAAGCAAGTGCCAGATGATGCCAGAAGATAAAGAATAGAATTTCATAAGCATCAAACTATCACTACTGTAATTCTCAGAAAATGCATCGCCCCTGTGATGACCTCCAGTTTCGGCATTAGTAGTGCTCTTGTAATGAGCAACGTCACAATCCCAACTCTTGGGAACCTCCAGAAAGCTGTTACCAAGAGTAACATTTAAAACGCTGAAGAGTGGAAAACTGAGAGATAAAAAAAATATCACTTTATACCGTTAATACATGCTTACCCTTCAAAGGACTTTTCCTTACAACGACTCAAATACTCCTCAGAGTGCAATGCGTAGATAGCATCAAGTCGCTTAACCAAAACCGGCACGTCCACCAACGGCATTATATCCCAGATCTTGAGGACTTGGTTACACAAGCCCGAGTCCTTTACGATGTCAATTGAGCATAAAACATACACATCTCTAACACGGAAATGTTTGAGAATCTGCTTTGAGTTCTCACAGACTATATCTATTTTTCTTTTTCTAGGCCTCAACCCAAAGGAAAGCCTCAGCAATAGATTGAGCACCAACTTCTTCATCTCAGAAGAGTCCAGCTTCTTAAATGAGGTCCTAAAGTTCTCACTAAGAAGAATCTGGTATTGTTGTCGAAAGGAAACGTAGGAATACAGAGAACACAGAACACATAAATGAGTTAGATGTATCCAGCTCATAACCCGTGGAGAAGTGAGAAACCAAAAACATAGGAAACAAAATAAGTATACCTTCCATTTCGCTTTCTCAAAGAGAATGGTGTCACCATCAGGTAAATCCTTAAACTTGTCAAGCTCAGCTTCAACTTGTGCCAGAACTCGAGCAAGATCTTCATGGATGACACCTTTTTTAGAGGTACTTACCTGCCTCATCCTCACAAAAAAGTCTTTACTGTATTTGCTATCTCGTTACATAAAAAGTAGTCCACTGCAGGTCGTGGTTCTTCCTGCATAAAGCAGTTAAAACTCAGAAGAAGAGCAAAAAGGAATTCTACATTAGTTGTCTATCAAGTCCAAACCTTCAACTCATACCTTCTTCTTCCTCTGTTTCTCCTTTCTCTTACGAATAGAGCTCAGATAATATGTATAGCAAAATGAGAGATGTACTGAAGAGAAAGGCAGAGGATAGAAGAGAGAGAGTGTGGTTAAACGAAGGAGATTGTGACAGAGAAGACGATTATCCTCAATACTAAACGGATACTACTTCCTTGTATCAGTTGAGAGATAAGTAGTGGAAGAGGCAAGCAGTTCCGGCTCTCTGCCCTTTTTTCATAAGTGGAAGAGGAAGCGGTTGGGCTTCCCCAAAAGAAAATTATGCATGCACTGCAAGCCAAGGGAGGGAACGCCAACCAAAAAAAAAAAAAACGGATTCTTCAGCATCAATATGTGATGTAGGTAAGCCAATGGGGATAGCCCTTCTTCTTTTTCTTGATGGAAGACAACCCTTATTCTTTATTTACTTCAAACGGGAAGATTATCAGAACTCGAGCAAGATCTTCATAGAGTGATCATCGCACGAAAGCAAGTTACTGACAAAGTGTTTGTGTTATGATTGGACCGCCAAGACAATTAATTAATGACTCGAGAAAGCTTATGGAAGAACAAACAAAACCCTCCCAAACTGCATCCAGTGAACTGTGAAGTAAGAAAAATTCACACACATTCATTCACACTTCAATCATGATTCGAATTCATTCACAATCACGGCATTGGAAAACCCTAAGCCCCACGTCATATTTAACCTCAAATTCCAGTAGAAAAAACGGGACTAAGCACCACCACTACCAGCTGCGGTAGCCATGAGAGTTTCCCCAATCTTACAAGACAAGAAGGCATCAAGGCAGGCATACTGAACTTGGGGAGGAGTGAGCCAAAAGTTGTCCCACCTGCTCATCTGTACTGTCTTGAGCTTCGCGATATCTTTCCCCAGCACCTCCTTCGTCAGCTGCTTCAGTCCCGCGTTCTTCAGCGCCTTCACTCCAAGCGTTTTCGCCGCCAGTAGCCTCAGGTCAACCACGTTCGCCACTTTCAGCCCGTAATCCTTCAACAGCTTCCTCGCGTCGCTGTGGATTCCGACGCCAGCGAAGACATAGTCCTTGCTCCGGAGGAAATCGAAGAGGGATTGCGGGATGGAGGGGGAGTGGATGAGCTGGAAGATAACGCACCTGTTGCCGATGCAGAGCTGGAGGGTCGCGATTGGGTTGTCGCTGTTGCGGCTGAAGTTGGGGCGCCACTCCACGTCCAGGCCAACCACCACTTGCACGGCTGCAGCGGCAGATGAGTTGGAGGTCCGCTGCTGCTGCTGCTGCTGGTGGGTGGTTTCGAGGATCCATTGATGGAGGGGACCGGGGATTTGGGTGACGAGGGTGTGGATTTCGTCGGTGAAGAAGGTGACGTCGTACAGATTATAGGTATCGTAGGGGAGACGATGATCTTTGATGCTGATTGTCGCCATTGTTGTTTGAGAGCTCGCCTTTGCCACTCTGGATTTTCCCTCCCTTCGTCAACTACTCGGCACTCGGCAGGATTCTGTAGAAGTAAAATACGAAAATAATTTTCCTTAACCTAATCGTGCTCTTAATCTTTAGATGTATATGTAACTTGTAATCTCTGAAGTATTAAAATTAATTTTCTTTCATTACTTTCTTTACTTTTATTTTTTCGTTATTTCTTTCGTCAGTTACAGCTTACTGTCGAGATATATTTGACCTATTTGTTATTGAGTTCATTTTTCGAGTTTAGACTTTAGTTCATTGATTCTTAGTATCCTTTTTATAGAGCAACCAACTGTCCAACTCCCTGATTCCATCCCAATTTTATCATGTTCTTCAAAGAACTTCCTGCTTTAATTTGGTGTTTCTATCCGTATTCTTTTTTCGCAGAGTTTTGGGTTCTTCGTGACTCTTTACGATGATAGTGTCTGACTCACTCTTCCACTAATGTCTTGTTTTGTAGGAATGAGCAGATGATTATCAAGATGATCAACGCGAGAGATTCGTCGCATGCGGTGGATAGAGCTTCCATGCAAGAGATTCAGGTGTTGTGGGCTTCTTTCATACGTGCAATGTTCAATTTCAATTCCCAAATGTATAATAAGGCTTTCCATATCGTGGCAAAACAAGCCTTTCGAGCAATGATACTTGTCGATTATATCTGGGATTTCGTCATGACCATTTGGGAAGCGGGTCAAAATCATTTGACCCTGATCTTCCCAATCACGAGTTGGAGCTTCTCCAATCGATCGTCTCGTTGTTACCCTCTGAAAACGTCGCTTTCTTTGTTCATTTCCTCTGCGGCCTCCTCCGATCTGCAATCTTCCTTAAAAAGACAATCGCTTGCAAGAACGAGTTGGAGAAACGAATATGGGGTTTTTTATGGCGGTGATTTCACAGAATTTTATTCCACTGCTACCCAAAAAGTGGCTAAGACGGTTGATGCTTATCTTGGCGAGATCGCAACGCATGCAGGGCTGACCATCTCTAAGTCCAATGGGATCGCTGTTCTAGTCCCCAAAGCAGCCAGGAAGGTCGATGATGATTACGCATGCGAAACAGTGGCGAGACAGGGACGGACACCAATGGATTGATTGAGAGAGACGATGAAGATGAAGTCGGAGATCCCCACAAGGTTGGTGGCGGCGAGGACGATGATGGTAGAGGCTCTGTTTCGCTGTGGGCAAGGCGAAGCGGCGAAGTCGAAGGCGAAGCTAGGGATTATAGCATCGCATTGTCTCTCCAAAATGGCAGCGTAAGACCAATTCAGCAGTTCGGGTTTTTGGGTTTCAGCGAAACCGAAACTGCCGCAAAACAGCTCGGGTTGAACCTGAAAAATCGAAACCTGAACAGACAATTATCGGGTTGGTTTTGGGTTAACCCGAAAAATCGAACCCGACCTGTCACCCTTACTTACAACATTGTCACTTGAAGATTCTGTATACAGAGAAGAGAATTAAATGAGAAGAAGATTTGGGTCAATATTGGGACTTGAGAGATCATAGGCTAATTTCTTTAAAATTATTATGAGTCTTACGTTTATGGAGTTTAATTAACATAATATAAAGTGGATCATGGGCCGTAGGCTCTGGCTTCTATAGACTGCAGTTAATTAAAAAAAAAAATTAACGGCAGGAGAGGAGAGCATTTGGGCGGGACAAGGAAACAATTATTGGAAAAATAGACACAAATTCCCCGGGCAAAAAATTAAGGGGAGACTTGGAATTTTTAATGATAAAAAGTTTGTAAAACTCCACTATCTATTATTCTATTGATTGACACCTCAACGCCATTTTCACTAAAATATCCAACTAATCCAATTTATTTATATTCAATTCATTTGATCCAAATTCAATTAGATTGGTGGATTCATGCATCATTAGTAAATTACACTTTGGTACCTACACTTTTTGTACTTTATGTTTTGGTGCCTAAAATTTTTCATTATGACATTTTAGTACCTAAACTTTTCAAAATTTACATATTACTCCAAGACTTGTATATCATTGATTAATCCACCGATTCAATTGATCTAATTCATGAATCCACCAATCTATTTGATCCATGGATCTACCAATCCAATTGCCACCTCTACTTGTGAGTACACGATTTAGGAGAGCATCACTCTAGGGCTGCAAACGAGTCGAGTCGAGTCAAGTCGAGTTTTTGCTTAGCTTGAGCTCGACTCGTTTAAAAATATTTCAACTCGAGCTCGGCTCGAACTCGAATTTTGATAATCCAGCTCGAGCTCGGCTCGATTAAAAATGATTCAGCTCGAGCTCAAACCCGGCTCGATTAAAAATGATTTAGCTCGAGCTCGACTCGGTAGAGCTCGATAAATGGTCATTAACACAGCTTGTCAAGCTGAGTACAAGTTTAGCTCAAGATGAGCTCGATTTGAAATCATTCTTGCTGAAAAATGTGCACAAATAATAATTTAAATGATAAAAAGAGCACTATAAACTAAAAAGAACAGCTAACTTTCATACATATATAGATTAACAAGATAAAGTTCATGTTTATAAGAATAATTAATCCTTCTACAAGCTCTAAACAAGCCAGCTCAACAAGCCACCGAGTCAAGCTAGCTCACGAGCTTATCAAGCTTAGCATGGTCTAGCTCAAAGCTTAGCTAGTTTACTAACGAGTCGGATCATGAGCTAGCTTACTAAATAACGAGCCGAGTGTCAAACGAGTTTTTTCCGATTCGAACGCCGAGTTGCTCGTGAGCGGCTTGGCTCATTTGCAGCCCTACATCAGCATGTAGCCATTCTAGTCAGAGCAACTGAGCTGTTGTAGCGAGAATGAGTCATTTATATTTTCCACGTATCTAAAGAGGGTGATAAGTGCCTCGATTTTCTCATTAGTCGAGGGCATTAGGGGTGGGAATCTGAATCTAATTTTTTGGTCAAACTAGAAATCGGGCAGTTAAAATCGTCCCAATTGCAACCGAAAATCGGATTACCATCAACCCAATCCAATTTTCTGTTGTAGTGCACACTAAGCGGTCCAATTCAGTTAAAACCGAAAAATATGGATAGCCCAAACCAAACCCAAAACAATTGGCAGCCAAGGCCCACCGAGCCCCAATCCTGATCCCTAATTTCTACTTTTCTAGAGACCCCTCATGATCCTCCAAATCAACGCCGCCTCGCCTCCTCATTCTATCCCCTCTCATTTTCCTCTGAAACACAAACAAGAACTGCGAAGAAGAAGAAGAAGACCCCATCCCGTCGCAAATCGCTTCCCTACATCCCCATTAATTGACTCACTGACTCCTGTTGGCCGGCAGCGAATCACGCTAGTCGCAACAGAGGTATCTCAGTCTCTGTTCTGTTCTACCTATGTACCGCCGGTCATTGAGATCTTCATCATCGTTCGTCGCCCAGTCGCCCACCAGCCATTAGGAATCGTTCATCAAGAGCCATCGTCGAGTCCTGAAGAAGTGAGAGGAGGAGGAGGAGGAGAAGGATATATAAGATTGAGAAGGAATCAAGATTGGGGAAAGAGATATATAGGGATTGGGATTTGGCAGAGAGATGCGAGATTTGGGAAGAGATAGATAGGAATTGGGTTTTGGGGCCGAGATGGAGGTCGACGATTTTAATTTTTTTTTCCTCAGGTCAGTTCAAATGTTGTTGTGTTTTAGTTTATTTGAGTGTATGGTTTTCCGGTTAAAACCGTAATGCATCCAATCCGGTTTGGTCAGAACCGGATAACAATCCAATCCCGTTTCTAGTCATGGGGTTGTCCAATACGGTTTTAAAAAATGGGTCAATCTGATTCGGTTGAAACCGAATTGGACTGTATCCTAGTCCTAGAGGGCATGATGTACCTTTGGGTTTGCATTATTTGGTTTCACCTGTAGTTGAAATTGTTCACGTATACTATTTTCTTGCAACACAAGAAAACACATAAGATTAAGAAAACATACAAAGACACATACAAACGTCCTAGCCGACATAATTCAATGTCTCTACTTAAGGAATCTTATTCCCCTCTAGTACCCAAGGTTATGGAATGATTCCTCACAGGATAGACATGACGTACATTTTCCAGCGTAATGGTACCTCAAACCTCAAACCCCGGAAATCATCGAACGTAGCGAACCAACAAGAACAACATTTGACTCAATTTTTCTTTTGGAAAACAATGCAGAAAAACCACTTTAGATTTGCAGAGTATTTTGTATGGAAAACATATGTAAAAACCAGAGGAGTTCGGTGCTACTTATAGACAATGAAGGGGTGCGTACGAAGGGGCAACTCTTCGTGTGGGTGGTTACACCACCAACCATTGCATTAGTTGATTTAAAAGTTCTCAACCATTGCATTGATTCGGCCTATGGAAGTTGAACCGATTTGGTTGTTCCAACCGCCATATCAGTTTGATTTGATTTGGTTCAACTCGATTTGGTTTGGTCCGTTTGATTACACAAAACCAATTTAACTAATTAACCACATATTACATCAAATCGATCAAATTCGAGACCGTGCCTTTCCACATCTTACCAACATGATACTTCAAGAGATTCTCTTGAATCTCTTTTCCTTTTAATTTCCATTCACATAATAAAAAATCCCAACATCAATTTCTTATCCTATACTGTATTACTGGAAAGTGTACGACATTGAAGGGGTATCCAAACTTCATGTGACATTCATTATAAAAAAACTCATGTGACATTCATTATAAAAAGGCCCGCCTATATAAAGGGTTGGCAAATTGCCAAATTCATAAATAGAGCAATTGAATATGCATGTGGATTGTGGAGTTTAGAGACCACATCTATTTAGTATACCCATCGGCTCCACAACACCTCATCTCATGCCCTTGCTAGCTATCTATCTTCATTATTCAGAGCAATTTAAGGCAACACATGGAATTGCCGGATCATGTGCGCCTAATGCATAATTAAAAGAGCCCCGCACCAATTCAGATTGTAATTCATTAAACTTGTTATTAATTTTATGTGATTAAAAACTACATCAGCACGCACGCCTCGCCACGATCGAGAGAGCTAGGCTGCCCAATTCTCTACCCATAGGCCATAAGTGATAATTAAGTCTCATAACTAATGACCACTACTGTTGGTCGGCTGAACAGAACCCGATTGGGTCGCGGATGAAATTCCGGACCTCCTCCACAAAGCGGTCCGACTCCGGCACCTCCGGGTAGGCGTAGAAGGTATGAATCGCATTCTCGTACTCCACCACCCTCGCCTCCTTCCCTGCTCTCTTCAGCCCTTCACAGTACCTCCTCTGCCAGTCCTTCAGCGGGTCGTACCCGCCCACGAACACCACCGTCGCCGGGAACTTCACCGTGCTCACATCCTCGCCGTTCGGCCCGAACACGTTCACCGCCGGGTGGTCCCTGTCCGACCCCACCGGCATAAACAGCTTCCACATAATGTCCGTGCGCTTCCACGTGGAGAAGGGCGCGTCGGCTAGCTCCAGCTCCGACGCCGTCCGCTCCTCCCCGCCGAAGAAGGGCTGGATGGATATGTTGCCTATCAGATCCAAGGAAGAGAACTTGTGGGACCCACCTCTCATCGCCACGTGGTGGGCAAGGTTGCCTCCCGCGCTGTCTCCCGCCACGAAGCTCCTTTTCAGCTCCACTGTGCCAGCCTGCAGGTTTAATTAATTTATTAGGGTGGGTGGGTGGGGTATGCATAATTTTTTGATAATTAATAGTGCAGTACATTACTGGTGGATGAGAAAATAGGAAAATCTGAGATATTAATTAATTAAAATAGAAGATCGATCAATATTCGATGATATCAATTAATAATAATAATACTACCAACCTGGCACAGCCTGGCGACTTCATTGCACTTGCCGCCGTCGATGAACTTAAGGACGTCGAGGCCGTCCTCGTACTGGCACGGACAGCGATGCTCCGGGGCGAGGCGGTAGTTGACGGAGATGACAACGGCAGGGATTTCGGCGGCGAGGCGGCGGCAGGAGTCGTCGTAAGGCTTGGAGTCGGGAGCCAAGAATGCGAAGCCGCCGCCGTGGAAGAAGAAGATGAGCGGCAAGGGGTTGGCGGTGGAAAAAGTTGGGGTGTAGAGACGGAACCAGAGGTTGCGGCTGGGATCGACGGTGACGTCGGTGGAGGAGACGCCTTTGGAGCGGCGTGGACGGGATTTGATGTCGAACAAGGACATGACCCGGCGGTTGACGGTGCCGTCAGGTCGACAGCTGAGGTCCACCGCGAAGGACATGAGCTTGACGAAGAGCTTCACCTTCCAGGGAAGTGCTGGAGGAGGACGCACAGCCGTGGAAGAAATAGCAGCAGCCTTGTCGTCCGACGATGATGCCATTGTCGTCTTGGGTTGTGTGCTCGCAATTCGGATTGGCCAATGACTGATTTCTGGGACGACAAGATCTAGAGTGGAAAGGTATTAGTTATATAGCGCTGGTTCGGATATGGGAATTAAAATAGATACCGGATGAAGGTGAGACTTGAGAGAGAGGGAGAGGAGGGAAGGGGTCCACATTCGATCAATAACCATCAGGTGAGTAACTCTCCGTAACCAATCGATTAGCCGTCCATAGATGACCTTTAGATGTGGGATATTAAATACACGCAGTGGTAAAATAGTAACCTGACAATCCTTCTGATAATTTGAAAAAGAAAGACGCGACCCTTCCCAGCCATCATCATCACCAACTCTTAAAGGTGGCAATTGGATCGGATTCGTGGATTGGATTGGTGGATCAATGGATCAAATGGATTGGATCCAATGAATTGGTGGATTTATGGATTGGATCAAATGGATTGGTGGATTGATCCATGAATCCAAATGACATCCAAGGCTTGGACCAAATATAATTTTTTAAAAGTTTACATACTAAAATGTCATGATGAAAAATATTAGGTACCAAAATGTAATTTTCCAATGTTATTTTTCGTATAAAAATATAAATTTTAGGTACCAAAATGTAAAATATAAAAAATATAGGTACCAAATCATAATTTGTCATTTGGATCCATGGATTGATCCATGAATCCACCAATCCAATTGGATTTGGATCAAACGGATTGGATTTAAATGGATTGGATTAGGTGGATAGTTTGGTGGATGGATTGGATTCATGGATTTGGATCCTAATTGTCACCTCTACAAACTCTGCAAAAACAAAAAGCATCACAGACGGTTCGCGTTCCATCTCTGCTTTTTCGGTATACATTTATGCTATACATTCTCTCCATTTACGATATCCATTCTCTCTGTCACATTTTTATCTCCGCTCACAAAGAATACTGACGAGAAACTGCAAACTCGAATTTTCATAACGTTAGCAAAGGATACTGATATCAGTTCTTCAGCGATCAAGTGAGGGTTTTCAACTTCGACGTCTTCAACGATCAAGGTAAATCATCACTTCTTTCTTCAAAATCTAGATTCGTGATTCTGAATGTCTAATTTCAAGTAGAGACTTCACAATGCAAATCGTTTTCACCACTAGATTTTTGTTCTTGCACAATGTTAACCATACTGTTTTAAAGAGATGATAAAAAAAACCAAACAGAAACCTCTACTATGCTTTAATTTTTTTACAATACCACACTGATAGCATATGGTATTCTAAGGAGATACCGTTCAAGTAGTGGTCAAAGTACTTATAGTGAAATACATTTTATAGAAAAGTATAAAAACGACAAAAAACCTATGCTATGCTCTGATTTTTTTAAAATACCACACTAATACCATATGGCATATGCTAATATAAGGATAAACCGTCCGAGTAGTGGTCAAAGTACTTACAGTGAAATACATTTTATAGAAAAGTATAAAAATGACAAAAAAAACCCTATGCTATGCTCTCATTTTTTCATAATACCACACTGGTACCATATGGTATAATAAGGAGTAATTGTTCGAGTAGTGCTCAAAGCACTTACAATGAAGAAGATTTTCTAAAAATGTATAAGAAACCACAAAAAACCCGCTGCTACGCTTCCATTTATCATAATACCATATGGTATGGTGAGGTAAGATCACTTGAAAACCTTTTCAATAACCCTTGATGTGTTGTACGTTGTATTGCTTACTGGTAGAATATGGTATGGTATGGTATGATATAGCAAACCTTCTATTCTATATTCGGGTACATCATGTCAAAACCAAGGGACGATTTTCGCACAAGGTGTAGCCCAACAAGAATCAGCACACTGTCAAGGGCATTAACAGCTTAACAGAGGAAAAAAATGCAGGAATTAGGCATTGATAGGGGTGGGCAACCAAGTCCCGTTTGAAGAGCAAAGTGCATCCCATATCCCAAACACATAAGGGTTAACGAGTACTAGTTACCCGTACGGGATGGATAACGGGTACCCAAACTACCCGTACATACCCCTCCAAATGATAAGGGAAAAGTTCTGTAGAGCTAACGTACATCTCAATGAACGTGTGAATTTCAGTTCAATGAACATGCATAACACTGGATTCTTTCGGAAGCTGGATGTATCAGTAGTCATTTAGTGATAATTACAAGGCTGAGAAGTTCATATTAGGGTTAACGGATACTATTGAACATACTATCTTCATTCGACACGACAGATGCAGAGATACAATGTGAAATAGAATGTACATGGCCTTTTGCTTTCAGTAGTCATTTAGTGTCTGTGTAACGCACAATCATGTTGTGCTGAATTGATTAAATAAAAGGAGGAAGCAGAGTTTACACTGGAAAGGGGTGGAATGAGAAATGAAATGAACCACCAGCTGGATTTATGGTTTAATCAATCGTACGTATGGGTGGGGTGGAATTGGGCTCAGGTTGGGGGATTGGGGTTGGTTATGTAATGTTTATTGTAGGAATTTTTGCTAACGGGTACTCGTATTACCCAAACGGGTATTAACGGGTAACTCGTGGGTACTCGTTGTAGAAATCATTGATCCCAAATCCCATCCCGTTAAAAATAAACGGTATTTGGGTACCCGTAACCCTCAAAAAACGGGACGGATATGGGTATATCCAAATACCGATTTTTCCTTGCCCACCCCTAGGCCTTGACGGCTTAACAACCATCCAGCAAACAAAGATATGCAAGAACTTTGCTCTATCCACAATGAGCAAGTACAATCCAGCAAAGCAATCATTCAAGCTGTTTGATGGAAACTACATGAAGATATCACCAATTGACTTTCATAGAGTTTATGGTCTACCAATGGGTAAAAAGGAAGTGACGCTCAAGAAATTATCACTGGACGAAGCAGTAGACTATGCGCTACAAGTCCTACTAGAACTAGAACTTCCAGCTGAAAATGTAAGGGTGAAACTACTTAACGTAGAGCATGACATTTCTTAAGCTCGTACCATTGAAATATGGATAAAACTGTTCTGGTTGCTGGTTACTGGAGGTTCACTGTCCCCATTTTCAAACCCTACTGCTGAGTTGATTATGGTTGAGTACTTACAGCAAAGAAAAATCAAGCATTTCAAAGAATATAACTCGTGCAAGTTCTTCTTCGACTATATGAATGAGGGGTTGAAATCAAGAAAGTTATACGTCAATGCAGATCTTCATTTCTTAACAGTAAGTATCTATACCCTCAATAATATCATTTCAATTAGTATTACCCTAAAGCATTACCAATCCTAGTACTTAAAAAAACTAATACAACTGTTTCTCCTTTCCACAAACAAATAAAAGGTATGCTTCATGTACAAGTTGGATGAAATTGCCTTCTCCACCCAGTTTCAAATCCCAGCAACAAGCTATCACGACGACCTTGTTGTGCAAAGAAACTTTGAAAACATAATCAACTACTACAGTGGAGAAGTAATTAAGGAGCTGATGAAGATACAAGATAAAGAAGACAAGATCAATGGCACCAACAATGATGATGATGATGACAACAACACAGAACAAAAACCATCAACGTCACTCATATTTGATTTGAAGATGATCAAGACTATCACCCAAATAAGTATAAATTACCCTATGTTACAATTGTGCAATTCATATAACTAATACCACACATGAACCATGGTGGTAACATATGATATTGTACTCTATAATGGACATACCATCCATTACCACCATGGTAACATGTGGTATTCTACTGTAAATATTAACTTACAAACCAAAAATCACTAATGCGGGCTGAGAAAGCAATAAATCTGGTGAAAACATCAATTAAAGCTATGTTGCAATCAATCAAGATGCAATTCAAAGCTCAAATGGATGAGCTTGTCAAACACAAGGAAAAGTTGGAGCAACAAACTTCTGATGAGAACTTTGATGGTGTAGAAGGAGAAAGATCCGATAACGTGATTGTCGAACAAAATGAAAGAACTGAATCTGGAGATGAAGATAAAGAAGCAGACACCAACCTGGAAGAAACTCCGAAGAGAATTTTGACAATGCACAATCAAGCAAAAGGAAAGCAAACACAGTCAATGAATCTCAAGAAAATGATGATTCTCAACAAACAACAATTGATCCAGCTACACCAACATAATGTAAGAAAAAAATAATCAAGATGGTTCTTCAAAAGAATCAGAAGCACCAACAATAGAGAATCCTGCTGAAACTGCTGAGAAGAACCAAGGAAAGTCAGTTCCAAAGCATGTAAACCAGGAGGGCAACAAAAAGGAGATGAAGGAAAGACCGAAAGAGAAATGAAATTCATCAAGATCATGAAGGAGATGATAGTGAAAAGACACATTCAGATGTGCTTGTTTCAAAGAAGGGAGAACATGTGAAGAACAATGAAGAAGAAGCTATACAACCACCACTAAAGACTACAGGAAACCCCAAAGTTGCAAAGGACAGTGACATACCATCTTTTGACATAAGCCCACTCAATCACCCATCACCACCACCAAATATCAACATCACCACAACAACCAGAAGAACCGCGCAAAAGAAGGATAGTGGTGAAGAATGTGTATGGACCAGAGAAGAAAGCAAAAACATCAACCCCACCAAAAGGCACAACAAGCCCACAGTTGTAGAATCAACCATTCATTGAATGGTTAAACTTGTACTCGAACAACCAAGAGAGGCTACTGGAGATAGATTTTTGCTTGACTGCTTTTTCACCTGCAGGGTTGCTTGAGGACTATGGCGCCTGGCGAACCTTGATGACAGGATAATTATTCTCAGTGGCATGACCTCGGATGATGCGTGTAAATTTCTCTTCATCTCCGTGAACCTCTCCAAGCTAGAGCTAGCTGATATGATCTTTATTCTCTGGCGAATTTGGAAGGGCAGGTGTTGGTCGGTACATGGCCATATCCAATATCTTCCTCACACTTTACTCCGCCAATACCATAGGCAAGTGGAGGTCAGTGGGTCAAACTCCACCTAGTCTGCGTCGCAGGGAGAACAGCCAAACACACAACCCTACTGCCAGAACCCTGGCTGCTGGAAATGGAATCCCCGCAAATGCAATTTCTGTTTGGTTCGATGGGGCGGCTAAACGAGATCGAGGAGGAAGCATTGGCTTTGTAGGGTTCCACTTCCAAGCATCAATAATATTCTCTTTGTTTTTGGCAAATGGTATGAAGGGATAAATGATCCATTTTGTTAGAATATGAGTTGAATTTGATTTGGGTTTGTTTTGTGTTTTGGGCCAGTTTTGTTTGGGTTTGTGT